TATAATTATGATTGTTATCATTACTATAATAAACCAATGTATAATATATTAATAAATATATAACATGTAATATACATTACATATATATATATAAATATATATTAATATAACTATGAAAATACAACAAGAATATAATAAATTAATATAAATATTATTGTAATAATTTATAATATGAATAAATATAGATAGGTATAACTATTAATAAAATATAAATTATTAATAATTATTACGGAATTAATTATTATTGGGGCTGCTATTATATTTTCCCCCACGTTTCTTTTAGGCTCATGACAAAGAGCAGCTTTGGAAAGATTCCTCCATCTAAACACAATCCCTGGAGAGAAGCAAAGAGTGGGAAAAGCTGAGAGGTATCTGTGTTTATTGTTGGGATAAACAAACTCCAGAGCATTTATTTGTTCTGGTCCAAGCATGTCCTGTGCTCAAATACCATCACCTTTGTTATCTAGAAAATTATAAAAAAAAAAAAGAGTTTGTGCATATGGGTTCGTGTTCAGCTGATCCAATGTGCCTGTGGCCCCATTCTCTATTTTCACGGAGATAATGAATAATTTTTTCATATTTTCATTCCATTCATTAGTGGAATGATAGCAAAGAGCTAAAGCTCACCCTCTCTGCAGGGACCCTTTTCAGAGCTGGCACCCTGTTCTGCCCAAAGGACGGGCTCCCCTGGGCTCCCTTGGAGGAGGAACCAAGCCTCAAGACACGATTTTGCTCTTCCAGCACTGCATTTGGCTTTTTTCCTCGTTTTACCCTGAAACCAGGGTTTCAGCTTTCCCCCAGGGCAGGCAGCCTCAGCTGCCAACCCCAAAGGCACAGCAGCCCTTTACCTCATGGGGAATCCATCTCACTCTGCTTTCCAGGGGTTTATTCCCCTCCCTTCCCAGACCCACAGGATCCCCAGATATCAAAAAAAACCACCTAAAACCAGCCTAACTCAAACACACGCTTAAGAATACACACGGCCTACTTTGATTTTTTTTTTTTTCCTCCTGATGTGCAGTTCCAGCTCCAGCAGCCTTTATTTTTAGAAGCACTCCCCGGGAGAGGCTGCAGCAGAGCTCTGGCTGCTTTGAAGGCTGCCAGGGAGGTTGTGGGAGCTGCTCCTCCTCAGATGCTCCCCTGATCCCCAAATGTGCAGCCCCACCTTCTCCTCGTCCTTCCTGCCTCCCTCACACTATTCCAGGAGCAAACCCCCCAAAAAAAAAAAAACCTTCCAAAGGAGGGGCATGGAGATGGTCAGAGGGATGGAGGGAAGGCTGGGAGAGCCGGGATTCAGCCTGGAGAGGAGAAGCTTTGGGGTGACTTCCCTTTGGCCTTGCAGGACCTGAAGGGGATCCAGAAGAGCTGGAGAGGAATTTGGGACAAGGGATGGAGGGACAGGACACAGGGAATGGGGTCACACTGCCAGAGGGCAGGGACAGATGGGATATTGGGAATTGGGAATTGTTCCCTGGGAGGGTGGGCAGGCCCTGGCACAGGGTGCCCAGAGAAGCTGTGGCTGCCCCTGGATCCCTGGCAGTGCCCAAGGCCAGGCTGGACATYGGGGCTGGGAGCAGCCTGGRACAGTGGGAGRTGGCACTGGATGGGCTTTAAGRCTCTCCCAACCCAAACCATTCTGGAATCCATGACAGATCCCTCAATCCCCCTGCTGGATTGGTGAGCCAGAGCTCGCACAGGAGGATCCAAAGCAAGGTCAGAGCTGCCAGTTGCACTGGGACATGGGGACAGGCTGCCATTCCCTGAACCCCAACAGGGAACAGCCCGAGGGGACAAATCCTGCACACAAAACCCTGCACAGAGGGATGCCCCCTGGTCCTATAGGGCAGGAGGGTTCCCTGTAGGGCAGGAAGGGGTTTCCCTGCACAGAGGGATGCACCCAGTTCCTGTAGGGCAGGAGGGTTCCCTGTAGGGCAGGAGGGTTCCCTGTAGGACAGGAAGGCGTTTCCCTGCACAGAGGGATGTCCCCTGTTCCTGTAGGGCAGGAGGGTTCCCTGTAGGGCAGGAGGGTTCCCTGTAGGTTCCTCTGTTCCCTGCACAGAGGGATGCCCCCTGTTCCTGCCCCAAACCGCCACCTCCCCAAACCCGCCCATCCCAGGGGATCACCCCAATTTCCAGTAACTCCCTGCGTTTCCAGAAATCCCAAACATTCCCACACTGCGGCCTTAGCCCCTAATAAGCAGGAACAAACCAGTGCCCATGTTTACTCTGGACATTTCAGATCTGTTAGGTAACAAGAGCTCCGAGCTGGATAAGCCCCACTCAGATTGCTCAGAACTAAATTCCGAATTTATCATCACGCCGTCCAAAAATAAACACATTTGCTCAGCGAGGGCTCGTGGCTGGTGAAAAATTATCAGCCCAGTGCTTCCCTAATTCACATTTTAAAGCCTCCTCACGCAAATGTAGCCCGGTTTCACTTGTATCTTCTCATCAGCCTTGTATTATTTAAAACATGTGGGACATTCACACAGATGGGAAAAAAAAAAATAGGTCAGGCTCGAAACAAAAGCCAAGCCATCCTGTTTTATTAGCAGCTTAAACATGCAGAACTGTAATTTGAAATTCCAGGGAAAGCAACGTAAGGAAAACATTCTGAGCATACAAATAAAATAAAAAAAACACCGCAAATCATGGCAACCTTTAATTGCCATGTTGCCAAATGCTTTAAATAAACAGAACCCATAAAAAGGCTCGTCCACCTGGTCTGAAAATGCACAGAAAGAGCCACATTGCTCAGTGATCATATGGAATCTGGGATATCMATCTAGGATTTTTCTACCATCAGCAGCCACTGTAACAGTCCAGCCCCTTTGAAATGTGATCAACACTCACAAAATCTTGTCCTTCCCTTTGCAAAGATCCTACTTTAAATAAATTTATTCCTTTCTTTGAACTGACATTTCTTCATTTCCCTTTTATCTTTTGCACAACCCCAATATTTATCGCCATGCAAACCCCTAATCAGTGCAGTAAATTTAATTCAGTTATTCAAGCTGAATGTCCTAAACAYCATCTGATTGCTGCCACCTATTGTTGCTCCAAACATTTTGCAAGGAGTTAACCCTTCATCCAGCAGCTTCTGGAAGCCATCCTGGAAGTACTTCTGCTTCTGCTGCTTCTAAATATGCAACTGCTGCATGTATTTGGGCATGATCATTGCAGAAAGAATGAATAAAGGCTGGAAATTAAGGTGAATATATATACAAATATTATTTAGAAACACACTATTTATTTCATTATTTTGTATCTGTTTTTAAAAAAAAACGAGTGTGTATACACACTGACTTCTCCATTAATCTAAGACTTGGCTTTTCACCCACAAGAGGAGTAAATCTGCAACAGTCATTTCTCACATAAAATGGTAATTTCAGGTTGTCAAAGGCCATTTAATTCTGTCTTCTCCTAAATGCACACAGAGCTTCACAGTGACATCACACTCAGGCTCATCTCAAAGGTAAAACAACACAAAAACTATCCAGTCTAGTTTAGCCTGCAGAGCTTAAGCATTAAAACAGCAGCTTTTCCACCAAATGTGGCACATTTGAGAGGTTATTTCAAAATATTATTTTTCCAGGTATCGTGTAAATAAGCGAAAGCTGTTTTCAGAAAAATGTGGGAGGTGAAAGACCCCCATCTCTCAAACAGGAAAACAGTGAATTCCTGGAGGAATCCTATACAAGAAGGGCTTTTCCTCCTGGATTTGGGAAATCAAGCATCAACGTGGACAGGAGAGAACTTTAACCCTAACCCTGCTCCTTTTTTCATTSCATCTGAAAYYCYAAGCRAGGTGGGACCCCCCTTCTCTGCCAGCAAAGCTCAGCTCTTGATGTGCAACCAAAACAAMRGGAGATGCAGACACAGAGCRATGAGAAAGCCAAAACAGACCTGAAACAGGGAAATCTGGGAAGCTGGCTGGGAATCAGGGAAGCCAGCTGAAAATCTTGGAAACTGGCTGGAAATCAAGGAAGCTGGAGGGAAATCTGGGAAGCTGGCTGGAAATCTGGCTGAAAATTGGGAAGCTGACTGGAAATCTGGCTGGAAATCAGGGAAGTTGCCTGGAAATCTGGGAAGCTGGCTGGAAATCTGGGAAGCTGGTCTCACACAGGGAACAGGCAGAGAGGGGAAGGGAAACAGGAAAAAGGGGAGGGGAAGATGAAACTTGCTGGATTCCCGCAGATAAAAGTTAATCCTGCAGTTACASAGACAAAGGAGATGTCGTGGGAAGCACCTGAGAGCTCCAGCTCTCCCAAGGGCAAGTAAGAGGAACTGTTCACCTTAATTCCATCTTCTGAAAAGTCCTGCCTCCTGTCTGGACATGACAGGATTTCATTACCCCAAAAAAACAACTTGCAAAGGCATCGGTGCCAGCTGGGGAAGGCTTTGGGATGTGGACTAGCAGAACCTCGGGAAGGCTCTGCAAAAAGCACTCCCTCTACTTCTCTTCTGGTTTTTATTTCTATTTATCTATTCAATTTCTTATTCTATATTTCTTTTGCTATCGACCAGACCACCTCAGCCAGGACAGGATGGGCCAGGCCCACCTTTACTGTGCATGGTAAAGGGACAGGGGAAATGAGAGGGCTCACAAAAAAAAGTAAATAGCAGAGAAGTCCTGTTTTTACAGAGTATTTACCTATTTAGGCACAAAGTTTAAAATCAGTATGAAAATACTTCTCTTTAAAGAAATGCTCAAGAAAACTTGTCCAGTTCAGTAGCTTGCACAAAGKCAAGCCCTGCTTCAAGAGTCAGCAAAAAAAACTAAAGATCAGACTCAAAAATGACTCATCTATTTAGATATTTTTGCTATCAAGGTATTTACTGATCACACCCCACACACACGGCCCTGAAATTACCCTCTCCTATCGTTTTCCACCCTGCCCTGGAGGGATAATTAAGCAGCTCAGACTGTTGAGTGKGTTTTTTGCTGTATAAAGATGCTCAATTGTCATTTTAAATTAGATTCTGAGATCTGAACTTACTGTTGACAATGTCCCCTTGCAGCTGGAGAATCTGTGGGACAGGCATGGTGAGAATAACCACATCGAACTGCTCCGGGGGCCCCTCTCTCCTGGAGACTTCCCACCTCCCATCCCAGAGGGAAATGTGAGTTACGTGCTGCTCGTAGGAGACATCTGCACCTGAGTGGGAAAAGGAGGACTTAAATGCATGGAATGGTGAATTCCACATGGAAAATACAGAGAGGAGATTTACTTGGRAGGGATGGGGTGACAGGGCAAGAAGGATGACTTCCCACTGCCAGAGGGCAGGAACACAGCTAATTATTTATGAGATCAGGGTTTAAAAGAACAGCTCATAAAAAAAAAATATGAGAACAATCGCATGGAAGGACCAAAGCTTGACACCTCAAATTCCTCAAAACAGAGTTAAAGTCCCTTTTGTATCTGCTGGACTTGGAAATTCATGGCTCACAGATGTGTTGATCCACCCAAGCAACTTACAGACACACAAAAACAAACAAGGA